CCCCCGGTGCGCTGGTGGAAGTGAATGGGGTAAGATCGAAGCCTTTCGTATTGTCTCGCTCCATTTGTCAAGGTTGTCCGCTCTCGCCTTTGCTTTACGTTCTTGCGTTGGAACCATTCCTTCACAAGTTAAAGGCGAATCCGGTCCTGCGCGGAATTTCCCTGCTTGGGGCTTCCACCTCAGCCAGGTATTCTGCCTATGCTGACGACGTTTCGGTTCTTGTGTCGAGCAGAGCCAAGATTAACGAAGTCAGCAAAGAGATCAGTGGGTATGAGATGGTGACAGGGGCCAAGATCAACCGCGATAAGTCTGTTGGCTTGCGGTTGGGTGCGTGGAAGGGAGTTTCTCTTCCCGGACCTTTCCTCTGGACAGATGGGCCGATCAAGATACTCGGCGACTGGTTCGGTCCTGATCTCCAGTTGGAAATGAACTGGTCGGAGGTACAAGGGAAGGCCGAGATCGCGGTTAATCTGTGGTCTCGGAGGAGACTTTCCCTGAAGGGAAGGGCAGAAGTATGTGTTTCACACATCTACCCGATTCTCCTGTACCGACTCTGTACTTCCATTCCCGTATGCCAGACTAATTTTATTAAATACGGACCTTGTTCTCTTTCTTGTGGAGAGACAAGGCCCCTATGGTAACTTCAAGCGAGATCTGTTGCCTTCATCCCTCTGAGGGCGGTCTGGGTATGCCTAGCATTGAGATTCGTCAACATATGCTTCGCATTACCTTTCTAGACCGAATGTGTCGCGGATCGGATGAGGTGGGTGCCTTCTGGAAAGAAGATGTCCGTAAACATTTCCCATCCCTGAGAAGTGTGCACTTGTGCGAGGAGGAGGCTGGTCGTACACCCCGAGCCGAGTGCTCCTTCTACCGTGAATGTCATCGTACTCTGAAACTCCTCTTACGGACATCAGATGGCCTCTCCAACGCCCAGGCGTTGTCTCGTAAGGCATTGTATCAACTGTTAGTTAGGGGGGCCGTTCAAGATGATCTGATTGGCGAGCTCGGTCTTATGAAGCAGGAGGCTCGCTCGATATGGCCTTGGGCGCCTGGGTTGAAATGTCTCAATAATGATGAGGCATCACTCACCTGGCTGATGATTCGTGGAGCCCTCTGGGTCGGCAAGAGACTTTGTGCAGCAGGCTTGGAGAAATATCCAAACTGTCGTCGCTGTACTGGGGAAGTTGAGACCGTTGGTCACGCCTTTTTTCGGTGCAAGACGGTAGTGCCGTTGTGCAGGTTTGTTGAAGGCCTCATGGTTCGCATGCTGCAGGGAAAGTTTTTTGTCCTGGAAGCCAGTTCTGTTTGTAGCAATGTGGTCCTGCAATTGACGAAGGCTGAACACTGTGTTCTGTTGCTTACTAGAGGTAATGAGAGTCGTGATTTGGACGACGCGTCAGAAGGAATTCTATGAAGGCGAGAAGTTCACCTCTTCCCAACTGATCTTGTACTTTAGGCATCAGCTTAAAGTCAAGATTAGGACGGAAATGCGGTGGCTCCCCTCATCAGAATTTGGCAAAAGGTGGGTGAATCTTGCGCACCTGTGTCGAGTAAAAGGGGCTGACTTGGAGTGGCATTTTAATGCCGGTTAGGCATCAGGATATTGTTTTCCTGGGTTGAACATGGGCAACCCTTCCCAACAGTAGGTTAGTTTAGGTTTTTGTAGTTGATTTTTTAGTTTTTCTCTCCTTGTTCGGTAAACTTAGCTCATCGGCCCCTTTTATTTCTGTCCCCCTTTTTTTTCCTTTAGTTTAACTCCCCATCCCCTCCCTCGTTTAGGTGGTCAGTGATGTCAGTTCTCTGGTGGATGCGGGGCGCCTTTCGTTTCGCGTGTGTGTTTTTTGTATTTGTTGTTGTGTATGAATATGTGTGTGCCTGTGTGAATGCTTTGGAGGAATGAGTGTTTTCTCTATTTTTCTTAGGCCCGCATCGATTTTGTCCGGTTAACTGATATTTCTGCCACATTTAAGGTTTGTGGGGGTTTTATTACTAACACACTGTTTGTTTAGTTTCTTGTAAATATTTGATGTCATATTGTATATATTCATTGGGGATCTTTTTAAAAATTGTTGTTTTATGCCCCTACCCGCCACGAACAATATTTGTACATAGGGAGACTATTTAAGATTTTCATTGAGACGAAGAGGTATTTTGGTGGATGTAGTATGAAAGGATAAATGTGTTGTTTTGGTGATTGGAATATTGTTTTGTGTGATAGGGTCAGTGGTTGTGGCTAGCTAAGTTTTATATTAAGACAAGTGATGACCATCCGTTTCCCCCATCCCCCTTTTGGCCTTGTGCCACATTTGTTGTGTTTTACGACAATAAATACTATTATTCACTTAGCTTGCTCCACAACTGAGTGTTTATCTCTACCACGTGATTTTTCTATATGGCGCTGCGAACAGGATATATGACACCCGAAGATTGGGAACTCTTCTTCATTGAAGCAGGCCTATCCACTGACTCGGCCAAAACTCATGTAACAAGGTTTGTAGACGAGAAACTGACAATCGAGAGCCTTCAAATGCTTGATCGATCCATGCTTAGGGAGCTCGGAGTTGCATTAATGTGAGAAGCCCTGTGTATCATCAAGCAGGCTAAGGAAGCCACCACCCAGACAACCCACATTCAGGCACTAGCAGCCAAGCCTCCCCATCTCAATCTCGAGATGACACCACAACAATTCCGGAAGTTCCAAATTGACTGGGATGTCTTTACCAAGATGACAAATATGCCAATCTCCCGAGCTAATATTCACCTAAGCAAAAGAAAACGGTGTTGGATGCTGTTGCTGGATATCATTCCATCCCCTTAGATAAAGAGTCCCAGCCACTCACCACCTTCACAGAATGGGGAAGGTTCATGTACCTGAGGATGCCACAAGGTTACCTAGCATCTGGCGATGCCTACACCCAAAGGTATGATGAAGTAATAAAAGACATTCCCATAAAAGTAAAAAATCGTAGATGACACACTACTTCATACTCGTTCTGACATCGAAGGAGCCTTCTTTCACACCTTTTATGATTTCCTCTTCCATTCTTTTAAAAAATGGCATTGTACTCAATAGAGAAAAGTTCCAATTTTACCAAGACACTGTGCAGTTTGGGGGCCTCCAGATAACATCATCTGGTGTAACCCTTCTAAATCCATGCTGGAGGCGATATTAAGCTTCCCCAATACCAAAAACACTCACCGATGCCAGATCATGGTTTGGTCTGGTCAACCAAGTCGCTTGGGCATACTCACTGAGCCCAGTCATGCTTCCATTTCGTGATCTCAAAAACGAGACTCACACTTTATATGGAATAAAAGCCTTGAGGATGCATTCCAGCATTCAAAGAAGGTCATAGTTGACTTAGTTCAAAAAGGCATTGCAACATTTGGAAAAGAACGAATAACCTGCCTCACCCCAGATTGGAGCAAAGACAGAATGGGCTTCCTACTTCTACAGAAGTATTGCTCATGCACCACCGACAAAGGCCCAGTTTGCTGCCCTGAAGGTTGGCGCCTGATATTTGCTGGTAGCAGATTCTGCATTGATGCTGAACGCAGATATGCACCTATTGAAGGCGAGGCAGCAGCAATTGCGTGGGTATTGGAAAAATGTCGCATTTTTGTAATGGGTTGCCCGAATCTCATAGTGGTTACAGATCATGAACCACTAAAAGGATTATTCGGAGATAGAGACCTTAGTAAAATCCAAAACCCCCGATTATTCAGGTTAAAGGAGAAAATCCACAGGTACAGATTCACCATTCAGCACTGCCCTGGAAAATGGCACAGAGCCTCCGATGCTGTCTCTCGTAACCCAGCAGACATCTCACAGGAACTCCTAAATGTATTCACTGCTGAACCCTCTCAATCAGACATCATAGAGTCTGACAACATGGATGACTGGGTCAAATCAACAACCCTATTAGCAACATTCGGTGCAAATGACAACCTGGAGCTCATCTCACCAGACGTTATCCATGCGGCGGGACGCAGCGACCAGCAATACAAAAAATTGAGGTAATACGAAATGGATTCCAAAGGACGCGCAGCCTCACTGCACCCGAAATCCGCGAATAGTGGGAAATGAGGCACCGCCTAAGTGTTGACGATGGATTAGTGCTATTAGGTCAAAGAATCGTTATCCCCACCTCTCAACGTGCAAAGTCTTACATAGCCTACATTCTGCACACCAAGGTGAAGTTGGCATGAAGGCATGTGCAATGAATCTGTTTATTGGCCCGGGATGAATGCTTCAATACGTAAACATTAGAGCAGGTTGTACGTTCTGCTCAAAAATTGCCCCGAGTCAACCAAAAGAGCCAATCAACTTGACACCATCTCCTGATTGGCCATTTCAGCAAATCGTCATGGACATGTACATTTGCCACCATTTCTATTTTTCATGTTACTATTTTCTGGTTATTCATCAGGTTTCTTTTCTACAAAGTCAATGAGCTCATCTGTCTTACCTTAAAGGTCCATTAGACAGTTTTGATGTGCTGTACTTCATCAAAGGCCAGAATAGAATAAAAAAAGAAACAAATTTACTCAATACCTACATATAATTTGATGACATGATATTTTTTCAAGATCTTATATTCTCCTCTGACATAAATGGTGTTAACAAATCTGATGTGTAATTTGTCAAACTATATAAAAGAACTAATATACTTATATATAGTTTGTCAAATTACACATCAGTTTGCTAATAAAACAACTATTATAAAATGAGTCTTACTTTTGTGCAATTTAACCATGAAAATTTTTTATTCACTCATATTTACTCTGGTTTTAAAAATTATTTCTAAAATTATTATGCTAGAAGCAATAAGATTCTGATTTCAAAATTCAGTTGTAAGTTTGTCTTATTCACTAAGCCTGATAGTAGATACCACATCTATATAAACATTATTGATATTTCTGAAAACTTCAAATGTAGTTTTTAACATTAAAATGTTTATGTTACTGAGATTCTGTTTGCTTTCTTACAGTTGATCATGAATAGTCCTTATGTGCTAGGAATTCGAGATACTGAAAGTGTACAGGTAAATTTTATATTTTGCTTAATTTCAGTCTAGTTAAATAAATGAAGTTTCTAAGTTTTCTTGAGCATCTGTCCAAAAAGCATAAAAGTCACTTCAGCACTCGGAAGAGTGGCATTCAATGTTCAGTTCTCATGAAAGGTATAAGATTAGATGAATAAAAAATTAGAGCATTATATCCTTAGAAGTTGAATAAAGTTATATTTGAAGTTTATCCACTAGAGTATACAAAGAACATTATGAACACATAAAATCAACACTGATGATGATAATATTTGTCGTCATCATATTTCTAAGAAATTCAAATATTTGTTTTATGTATTTTGCATTATTTAAAAAAATCAAAATTGAATTTTATTTGTATAACTTTTTTATGTGAGAATATTTGGAAGCTATAGTTGCTCTATTTCATTTCTTTCAACATAGAAATTTCAACAAAGATTAGACAGTGCCAGGCAAATAATGGTTGTTGGAAATGGTGGTATTGCTACAGAACTTGTGTAAGAAACATTTTTTTCCTTTGAGCATTTATAATCTAAGATACTTTGCAACAATCATTCAAACATTTAAACATACATTTACATCCTTAAAATAAATAAATAAAAATGGAACACCTGTCAAAGTGTAAATTTTTGTTTAAACAAAATCATATATAAATATAATGCAATTTAATAAAAGTTTTTTCCTGACAATCCAAATTTACTAATAGATGCTTTAGATTCTATCATTTTTTTAGTTCTGATAATGATTGTTCCATTCTTGTTGAATTATTGCAAATAATAAAACTTTGTTTTGATTCTTGAACTTGTCTTAGATTTAATGCTTGATGTTCACAAATTGTTGTAGCTCAAACAAAATCTTGAAAAATTTGATTAATTTAGCAAAATATGTTGTGGCATTATATTGCTGGATTGGGATAAGGAATCCTGTTCTTTACAATTCCTTTCTGGATGTAAGATTTTCATTGCCAAAAATCTAGTCCAATACTTTGACTGCTGAAACACTATAATGCCATGATCTGTAAACTTTTTTTGTTGGTTGCAAGCAGTTTTCTCTGAATTTTTCAGTTGATTTTCTCTAATATGTATGACATTTATCTAGAAGCAGAAAAAATATTGATATATCAATGAAAATAACATTCTGGAAGAAATGAGTGTCCTTATTCTTGAAGAGTACTGATTGTCAGTAGAATCCATTTTGGTCAGTGTTCTCTTGTTATCTGAATTGATGGCCTTGTTTTTCTATCTTTTTTTTTCTTGTTGTGATCATCTTAATTCTGTGAATGCTGGTCAATGGAATATCCAAACTTCTTTTAGCTTCTTTTTGATAGTCCTAATCTTTGACCAATATAAAGTGAGAGAATCTATTCCTTTTTGGTGGATGACAACTGCTTGCTTCCTTTAGTAAAGACCATCAAGTCTAAAAGAGATTAGATATTGCACTATTTAATTATATCTAATACAAAAAAAATAAATGCTCATGTTTATGTGTATTTGCTAGAAGAAGCTGAGATTTTTGGTTTTTCACTTCTTGTTTAAGTATAAATGATTTCCCATTGCCTTCTCCAAAATTTTGAATTCCACATTTTTTTGATATCGAAAGCTAGAGACTCCAGACAGTGCAAACGGTGCAAACGCCACCAACTGAAAATTTGCCACCAGTGGAAAAAGCGTCACCAGCAAAAGCATCGGCCTGGATAGAAAACAGGCCGCAAAAAGAAGGATGCAGCCTACTACAGCCTCTTAAAAGAAAAATAACAAGAAATCGTCACGCTTAGGGGACTGAGCTCTTAACCATCCCGGAGGCGTTAGAGGCGGTTAACTCAAGAATAGTTTCCTGCTGACGTCCGGCGTGAAGAGTCGGAAATCGACTGGAGTCAGCAGGGAAACGATGGAAGAGACACTTAAAAAGCTAAACATCGCTCCAAGGATCTTGGCGAGGAGGTCAAATGCCATGTGGGATATCCTCTTAGCCACAGAAGGAGAGGCAAAGCAGTTAGCGCGCAGTACAATGGCGACCAATAACATCAGACGGAATACATGGGTACCCGACGTACCAAAATCACGGTGCATGGGGTGCCCGTGGATATTTCAGCAGATAGACTGAGTGCATTCTTCGCCCAATACGGACCAGTCGAGGAGGTCTCCGTAGTTACCAGCAAGGCGGGCATTGCTACGGGCGACATGACGTTGCAAGTAACGTTAAATAGGGAGGCATTCAAAGATGTACCCAATACTCTTTTGTGTCGGAAGAGACGGATGCTGGTGGTTGTGGAGGGAAGAAAGCCACACTGTTGGAACTGTGGGGTATTTGGGCATATGTCCAAAGACTACCCAGGTAAGGCTCCGCAACCTCCACCAGGACCAAAAACAATCTTCTATCGTGGATTAGTGGAGGGTCGCGCCAAGGATTCGCTACGTGATACGCTCGGCTTGTCGGAGGAGGAGTATTGCTCCTATTGGTCTTGGGTGTCAACGGCGGATTACCTCAGTAACCCTGAGTTTTCGCTTACCTGGCGATTGGCTCGGAATCGGCTGCCTCTCAATGACAAGGCTTTCATATGGGGTTTGGCGGATTTGCCAGACTGTGAACGGTGTCGTCTTGGCTTAGAAGAAACGGCTTCACACGCCTTCTACCATTGCCCCCGGGTCCGCCCCTTATGGGACCATGTCGGCGAGCTGACAGCTCGTCTCGCTCCCGAACAGCTTGTGTCCATTGATCGTGCATACGCTTGTGACAATGTGTCGCCCCCGTATTCCGACAACCTCACGCACAGAGTCTTCACCATCTGAAGAGGTGCTAGCCCTACCTCCGATGGTAATTATTTGTTCACTTTCTGAGCGCTCACTGCTAGTGTCACTTGTTGACGTATCTGTACCTACATAGTGACGCAAGTTCTTTATGTGTCTTGGTATGCCATCAACCAGCACAGAACGCGAGTTACTTAGTCCAGTGACATGCCCCACCCGGTACCGGGTTGTACACCGGCTATGTGGAGATTTCACCCACACGCGATCGCCCAAGTCATACGGTGCTCGTTCGTTTATCCGTTCAGTTGAACGCGTTGCGTCAATGCCTCGTAACCGGACTTTGTACTGATAAATCATGTTAGCTGGTGCAGTTGAGGGCGATACATTATTGTTTCTCGGAGTAACATTATACCAATACACCGCCTCCATTATGGAACACTGCTTCCTAGCAGCGATTCTTTTGATGCTCCGATGACATCGCTCGATTATGCCATTCCCTGATGGGACATACGCCAGGCGAAAATCTGAGGTGTACTCCCCACGAAGCCACAAAATCTTTGAATAGTCCACTGTGGAATGCAGTGTCGTTGTCAGTGAGGAGTTCCATCGGAGGTCCACGTTCAAAGAACAATGACCCCAAGTGGTCAATGACGCTATGGAATCCTGTCGACGAGACGCCGCCAAATAGTGAACCGGGTTGGGCCACAATCAATCAGGGTTAAATAATGATGTCCGTTATAATGGGTGATGTCCATTCCAACACGGTGCCACACCTTGCTTACACTCACTTGTCCTTTTTGCCATTGCACAAGTGCTGGGTCGATGGACTGACACTCCTTGCATCCTCTGACCACTGCCCTGACAGCAGCTTTGGATACGGAGGGATAAATGTTACTCACAAAATATAAGGTCCGTTTTTACACGGGATGTCCGCTTTGGCAATGCACAGATTTTAGTAAATCTGAGTTATAGTTGCTTTCGCTGATGTTACACAGACATGTTCTACCGGCTCTACCTCTTTCTTAATAGCGTCAAGCCATTTTTGGGGGTACCCTTCTTAAAGTATCGGCCTTGTTCTGCTGTGATCTGACCAGCTGTATGTCTCACGGATAAGTGGTATTCACTTACCAACTTTCCCAGTGTGTCTAGCCTCCTTCGAATGAGCATCTCGCCGCAGCCTTTGTACGTATCCTAACCTTCCCGTAAAGAGTGTCTGATATCCACTTATACACGCATGCGAATCCGTGAATAAATGCAATACCTTTGCATTCCATTGAAGGGCCATGGTGACTCCCCTGATAACGGGTCTAATTCTGACAGGTTGATATGTTGCGTATCCTTCTCGGGATGCAACCAACACGCATCTTCCACGACAGTGTCACCTACTTCAAGAGACACTCCTGTTGCAAGGGAGCTCGCGTCGACCCAGACGTTAAATTCACATCCGTCAACGCACCATTTACCACGTGCGGGGGTCGTCTTGACGCACCCTAGTAATGACTTCCGCTATCATGTGTCTAAGGGGGCATCATTTATTGTGTCATCCCAGCCGGAAGTGACAGCAGTCACCCCACGCTTAATAAATGCAGTTGCAATGCGGATCCACCCGCCCACGGAAAATGTCCCACCAGCTTTCCACATAACGAAAACACGCTGCGTCCGGGTCATGTGTTTGGGAATGTCCGGGAGCTCGCTTCCACATTTCCAGTAAAGCATGTTGTGCTCCCCCAGACCTGCAAGCCAAGCACCTGAGCACCATCCTCCAGTCGTTCTGGGTTTTACATTCGAGCCCAAAGTCAGCAAGATGCTTTCTCACCTGTGAAGCGGGTACTAAGGTTTCGTTGATATAGATGTCGTCAATGTAGGCTGACATCGCTTGACGAATTGTCTCATCCTGGGATAGCACAGCATCCACGATGGCTTTCATGATGGCTGGCGCCACAGTGAGTCCAAATCCCATTCGGGTTAAGCAGTACCGTCCCCATTAAGGATCACCGTCTGAAATGGCCACAGTGACCGTGCACGCGTATTCTGCAAGTAGGCCTTTCAAGGTCAATCACAGAGACATTGGATCCCTTCGCTAGCCATTCTCTCAATTTTTGTGCACACACATCAGCATGAGCTGTGTATGTGTCTACATGTTCGTTCAGTTCTCTATAATCTAGTACAGGGCGCACCTTTCCTTGTTCTTTTGTACCACGGCCATCAATGGGATGAGGCCTCTTGGAGGACCAAGCTCTTCCTCGATACGGAGTCAGCCATCCGTTATCCAGCCACACCTGCAATTCAAATGGTATTCTTCCTTGACGCGTTCGGGCACCGAATATTCTGACACTCGGTTCTGGAGCTTTTCTGGTGGGTTATTTTCCGACCATTTCCAAAATGCTGTCCATGTCTTCGCCCTTTGGTCGAACTCTGCGCTAAAAGTCGGGCTCGTTGATCTTCAAAGTAGCACAGATGGGCTTAATCAGAAAACTTGACTTCGCCTGCCTCTGTAATGCGTGTCGCCCAGCTCCTTAATAATGTCCATCCCAAGGAGCAGATCGAAAACCTAATAACGCGCTGTCCACGACCAACACACTGACTGTGACAGGGTCACCGTTATTAATACTGAGTTTGATGTTTCCAACTCCACGGCTTCTAAGAGCCTTTCCATCAGCCGTTAGACGTCCATCTTTTGTCTGCTCCACTGTCGGCAAATCGAACCGTTGGTGAGTGACCAAGAGCAGCCCGAATCTATTAATGCAGCACGCCGTTATTCCATTGATGCGTATTTTAATCACAGGGAGCTGCGTCGCATCCCCCATTCCATTTCCCGGCACTTAGAGGCAATATGACCTACTTTCTGACATTGAAAGCATCGTAGATCGAGACGTGCCTTCGCGAATTCGACCCGCTCGCATTTCTTCGCATTGATAGTGGCAGTCTCTGGCAAAATGATTCGCCCAGAGCACCGATAGCAGGTGGCAACGCCATGGTGACGAATGGCTGGGGTCAGACCTTCTTTGACTTCAATTGGTTGAATAACTGTGGCCACTGGTTCATCAGCCTCTTTTTTCGTCGATCATGACAGCACGGGCTCTGGTCAACAATTGATTGAGCGTCAGGTCTTCCATTCTGATGATGCGAGTATCTGCTTAACATGACTGGGCAATCCAGAAACGAAGGCACATGTCATCCATTCTTCAGGAAGCGGTGCGATTGGAACGGCGAGCTTCTTTAATTCTGCCAAATATACGTCTACTGTCTCGCCAGGTCGCAGACGCCATGCCTGGAATTGGTCGTAGGCCCTGAACCGGTCAGTTCCAAACGCGGTTAGTAGAGCGTGCTTTATTTGCTCAATGTCACTTTTCTGTTCTTTACTCAGCTGCCTATACACAGCAAGGGCACCGCCATTTAATCGCAGAGGAAGAATCTGATCAATCTTCGATATCTCGCATAATTCGCAGACCAGTTCCACCTTTTTGATCCATTCAACCACAGACTGTCCACTAGTATCACCACTGAATTCGGGGATCAGTTTTATATCGAACGGTCTTTCCGCCATCTTGCGAGAGACAAAGTAAATGCCGAAATAGCTTGAAGAGTAAGCGTTCTCAAAGCAAATTTGTGGCTTTCACAACACAAAAAAAGAAAATCACTTGTAACGCGTCAGGAAAATAACTCACGAACGCCGTAGCCAAAACTGCCTGAATTTTCTTTTTTTTCCCGAGTCGACAACACCAACTGCTTTTTATCGGCAGAACCTATTTTTTCCATTAGTCGACAGCCGGGATAGGATGCTCCGTAATTTGAATATTAATATACTCTTATAGCGACTCCTGCGACGGACTTGTTTCTTTTTTGTCACAGAATACACGTGACGCGCTGTCGCTTGGATTGACGAGGTAAGTCGCTATGAGAGTTTTGCTGACGACTTTTTGGCAATCCCTCCCTGGCAGATCGCACACAAAACACGATCAATCCAGTAGAAGACAGTACAAAATAAGCAATGTTTTGGACATATGCTTTTCTATTGTAACAAAGGTGAACATGTAACTCATGATAAAAACTGCAATTTTTGTAAAAGGTTCTGTAAATGTTTGAATGTGTCAAAAGTGGTTTATGAAGTATCAAGTTAAAAAAAGTTCAGCCAATAGAACATTAAGTAAGAAATCTGTATATCCATACATATTATTCTTTTATCATAAATTTATATTTACTTACAGTTATGAAATTGAAAATTGTTCTGTCATTTGGGCCATTAAAGATGAATCCATTAATAATGCTTTTGTTGACGCTGCTGCTGGTAAATTTTTTTTAAAGAAACTTGATGAAAGGAAACAAGAAAATAAAACTTTGAAGAGGATGAAATACACTGTAACTGGTAAAAATTGTTTTTTGTACAATTTTACTGTATACATTTTTACATAGAATTTTATTCCCCTTTTATTATATAAAAATATCACTTACATCCAGCTGCTAAAATTTTGTCATAGCAACCTATGAATTTTTGATGTTTACTTATTTCTGTAGTTTACTCATATATTTATGTATATATTTAATTTCCATGTGAAATGTAAATTTTGTAATTCTAGTAGTTCCTAAATGCCAATTAGGTTTTTAATCATCTCCCTGATCTTTTATATTATAATAAGCTTATATTAGTTTGAATTTTTAAAATATTATCTTTCAACATTTAACTATTAAATGGTACAACACACATACTTTCAAATTTTCATAATCGGTCTAATATCAGACTAAAAACCAAGTTCAGTAAATATTTATTTGAATATTAAACAGGTATTGTGCTAGCCCCACTTTACTTTGGGACTGACATGAATAAGAAGAATATTTTATCAACTGTAATAAAGATGTTTATTTACACCTAAACATGAATACAATGGTTAAAACACAATATCCCTTCCTATATATAGAGAATATGTCAGACGGGCTTACCTATCTGGTGGAGTGAAATAGGACTAGATAGCTTGTACCTTTAAAACCCTCAGCAACTGGTACCGTTGGTGGCAGAGAGAATCTTATGTGTGTTACTTCAGAGCAGGTCTGGTCCCTTCTCTGGTGATGATCAGCTTTTTCTGAACCCACATGGTTTTATTAACCAATGAGAGACTGCCTAACATTATGTGACCAATCTCTATATACAGGAGCAGACAAATTTTACAAACCCCACACAGGTGTAAATCACAACTTTAAATGCAAACTAGTCACAAAAGAATGTTTTAAATCAAATGTCATAAAGACTATAGGACCTCAGTTATGGTTTTAAAAACTGTTAAAACATCTTGGAAATTGTTGTAAATGATTGTTGCTTTGATTGTACTTATGTAGAAAATACTCACGCTAAAACAGATGATCTTGGTGGTGCTCTTGGACCTGACTGGTCTTCAAATCTGAACATGTGTGGCAACCAAAAAGTAAGTATGTAATCAAAAGAAATCATCCCCCAAAATCATATTGATGTTCACATATATTGATGTCTACATTTTATTTATATTATATTGAATAAGATTAACAAGTAGATTTGACTAATCATTGTTAGATATAAAAAAAACATTGTAATTCTGAATTTTAGAAGTTGAAATTTTTTTATCATATTTTATTTTTAATTTTACCAAAGCTAAATGTACAGTTTGTTTAGGGATGGAGTCAAAGTTCTCTGAAATATTCAAAGTCTTTACCAGTCATAAAGTTCTTGCTGAATTTCTCTCTCTGTCCCTAGAAATCAACCTTACTGCCACAAAGTGGATAACACCCACTTCAGTGAACAGCACAAGACTTTTATTCACTCAGGATGTCAATCATTGGTTGGCTTGGAGAATATGCATACATTATGACTTCATGTGTATAGATCTCAAAAAATTTCATGCTTGGTTTGCACAATGCTGACAAAACAACACACATGCTACATAGGACTGATTTTTCCATTAAAGGGTAACTAAAATGGTAGCACTAATCTTCGAGTGAATGTTATGGTACATGTCTGTTAATTCAAAACCATATTTACTAATTACCATAGGTACTAATTAGCAGTCATATATGCTATCTTTAGCTAATTATGCTTTTGCTTTAAGAAGAATGCACGACAAAAATAAAATGTTTTCTAGATGTAACTGAATGGTGCCATGGAAAGAAAGAAAGTTTATAAAATCAGAGGCACTTTTAACAATAACCTGATTTTCCAATGACTTATACACTGAGAAATTTTTAAAAATTCAAATTTTATTTATATTTACATAATATTTTTGGTAAAATTACATGTGTAAACCTATACATGATATATAAGAGAGAGGTGAAGCTCTATTGGACTTTAAAAAAGAAGAAATTTAGAAAACAAATTATAATATTGATGAGAATTCAAGGTAAATGTAAGGAAAGAAATTTTAGGTTAAGTACCCATTTTTTATATGTTTAGAAATGTTCTATTATTAGTTTAATATATTGACTATTTGCAGAAAAGTAAAGATCTAAAGAATAAATTACATCTGTTTCTGCACTGTGATTTAGCAATGGCAAAGAACACACTTTCAAAACACATGGCAATACTGAAATACCATCATTTTATGAGATTATTTTGCATATAGAAATTATTGTTTCAACATGAAAGAAAAGTATCATATTCTTAGTGTGTAGTGTTGACCTTTTGTGAAAAGTTAGGATGCTGATAACTATCATTCACTCATGCTAAATAAAAGTATTCATTCTGTATATTTGTAATATATGCTGTTATAATAAATACACATGAGTTTTACAAATTATTTAGAAATATTTTTTGATTGTTTTGCATCTCAATTTGAAGCTACAAATGTGCTGAGTATTAATTCAGTGACATAATCAAAAGTGAAAAGTTACTCTTCAAAGGAGACATGTTTAAAGTATATCATTATTGATCCACTGCTGTGCTCTTTTTATAAATACTTTCATGGTAATTGTTCAGATGGGCTCTTTGCTATGATACCTAGACTGTATGAATTTAAGCGCAATACTAGACTGGCAACAAAATCTCATCAATTTTCAGTTGAGTTAGCTAGATTCTATGCTAACAGTTTCTTATCCCACACTTCTTGCTTGTGGAACTCCCTCCCAGCTCCATGTTTTCCAACCAACTTTAATCTGCAAAAATTTATATGCAGTGTCAATTGCTATCTACTGTCTTCCTGATTGCTCTTTTCTCTTTCTCTTCATTTCTAATGTTTCTTTTCCTAATTCCTCCATACCCTGTAACCCCTTGCATGCTGTATTGCTTTGCTTGGGTGATACCAATTAAGAAAAAAAATTGTTCATATTGGTTGCTACAAACTGTACTACATGTTTCCTTATTCTTTCTCTCTCTCTCTCTCTCTTCCGCTCTCTCTATTTCATTATTGATTGCAAGCTTTCTATCTTGTACTGATTCTTTTGCTTTTTTCTTCTCTATTATCAAACATTTACTTGTCAACATTTCTATCCCATCTTGAGTCTATCATAAATAATATCAGCAGCTACTGCTATTTCTGGATACAAATAGGGTGGGATGAATTAGAATGGTGTAATTAGAATCCAAATATCACTCTTAATTTCTTGTTGAGGTAGTCCATATTGCTTTCTTTGTTTTGTCAAATTAATCTTGTGCAATGGTACTGTTAATGTTTTGTATTAATCTTTGTTTCTGTTGATAATCTGCTAATAAGAAGTAGAAAGGGTTATACCAATGAAACTGTCAATGATCCTTATTTAAAAACTGTCATTCATTTATCTGAATAACAAATTACAATACTATTCAAGTATGCATTGTGAGTTTCTAACTGCTCTATCCCTATTTCCATGGCATGTGTTTTGGTGAGCTACATACTTTAGTTACACCACCCCTGATATATACAACTGCGACTCTCCATGCTATGTACATAAGGGTGAATCATTCTCTAGTAAGAATTAAGTTCCACTTGAACAGCTTCTTCCAAAGAACTGCTGCTTTGTGAAACTGACTCCCAGGAGGATGCCTTCCCAATCACTACAATCTTGACCTCTTCAACTTTAAGGTATCCATTATCTTTCCCTCATAACCCTATGAATTTCACTTATTGTCTCTTCTTACAACACCACACAGTAACCCTCTACATTGAGTGAGTCTTTGGGTGAACATTAGTATAAAAATCACACCAGCTATATACAAGGATAAATATAACTCCTTATGTTTTTTTTTCAGCAATGTTTGTTGCTTGTAAGATGGACTGGGTTCAATGAAATTGTTTTTTACATTGGCAGAGCATGATAGAGATCCTATCATCACTTTCACATTGACTCAAAGAGGAAGTGGATAATTTGAAATCATGTCAAACTTGAAACTCAAGCTTTCCAAATTGAAAAGCAAAACTAGAAATCTGAAGGCTGATCTAGCTAGTTAGATTAGGAATAGTAATTAATCACCAACCCATGATTCCACTTCCTTCTATAACCTTAGGATCAAATGTCATTTAACAAATGAACTTTTTCAGAAGTTAATTTTACTTTACTTTTTCCCATAAGCTATTTCACTTGGTTTAACACTGTATAGAAAAGAAAAGCTCATTTAGCTTCTTTCTGACCATAATGCAGCTTTCACTGAATTTGTTCAACTTCATCACGACAAATTCATACTGTCAAGTCTTTATGCCTTTAGAAAACAAAAATTTGCACATCAATATAAATATTTTAAAAAATTACTGATCATTAAAAACTGTAGATTTTTCACCATTTTTTAAAGAAAATATTCAAGAATGTTTCATATCCCTTCAAATGTTGGAATGTATCTAGATATAACAAGTGATTAGGACAAGTATTAAGCATAATTATAAAAATACCTTAGAAGAATGTTTGTTTTCATTTTACTTTATGATTTTTATAGTCTTATTCACAATGTATCTATTAATATAAGTTAGCTGCTGTAAAGTCCTTTAATAATTAACAAAAAATATTATTTTTATACAGAATCAGTTGGTTTTAAAACACTTATGTGCTCAAAGAAATGTGTTATTGGTACAGAAAAAAAAAAGCCCTTGTTAAAGATATGTATACATTCTTTTTTACTAATTTTTCACCTTATACAACGCCCAAGAGCCACTCAAGTTAGAGGTTACTAAATAAGATTGATGCATGACCAGTTCAAGGATATGCAGTTAACCTTAGATTTTGAGAGGTTAAGATTACTTTCTCAAGAAGCAAGTTTGTTCCATAAAGTAGTAGTTCTTGGGAATAAGCTGTTCAAATGGAACTCCCTTCTTCCTAATGGAATACAAAGGGAATGGGGATGATTTGTTCCAGTGTACATAACATGGCCGGTCTTACCTGTAAATATCAGGACTGGTGGAACTAAGGAATATAGCTTGTCAAAACATTTATCATGAAAATAGTTATAGAGTAGTATGAGGCTTGCCCAGGTTTTTAGTCCAGATACTCCTTTTTTGGTCTGATTTGACTCTTGTAAACTTACAGTATAACAGGTGGAGTCAGGTACAAATTGAGTGGTACCAACCCTTTTCCCAGCATCTTTAGTGATGTTTCATATATATAAGTTCCACATGGTCTGAAACTTGAGTCCCAATAGGCATTTGAGGCAAGGAGCCTCCTTCAGAGAACAACTGTTCATTATGATAGGTGAAAATTCATGGTCTTGGGGATGATGGAATGTTACTAGTTTCATTTTGGAGTTACTGAATGTTTTCCCCCATTGAGCCATTAGAGCTAGGTTGGAGGAGAGATCTATTCTATGCTATTCTCTGGTCATCTAGATTTTTGGAGGTACACCCATACACTGTGTTGTATCATCTGCATAGATATTTACTAGAGATCTGAGTATGTTCTTAGGCCGATTGTTAATATAAAGCAGGAAAAAGATCCTTGGAGAATGCCTGCAAAACTGCCTTTACCTGTTAGGAATGATTTGATAATTGAGAAAAACCTGTAATGAGTTGTGAAAAAATATTTTTGCCAATAATGTTTGAGTTTTTTCAAATCTTTTCCATACTGTTTAACACTCAGGATTGTTTGGAAAAGATTTGGAGGCTGATGGGTTGATATTGTGATGGGGATGAGTGCTCACACTCATTCTTGAAAACAGAGAATGTAGCCAACACATTCCATTGGGAAGCCTTGCTCCTTGAGGCAGCGGTTAAGCAATTTAATCAAGATTGATGATAGAACAATCACCAGGATTTTATTTTGCATCTAATGTGGAATTAAAGGCAATGTTCATTACACAGAACCTTGTTTTATCTGACAAGGATGAAATAACCTCATGGCCATTTATGATAGTAGGCAGTGAAGCTTTTCTATTAATTTTCTTTTCCAGAACTCATGTGTTTTTTTTTTCAAACAGAATTTTTTAAAACTCTCTTGCAATGATTGCAGGCAATTTTGAATGCGGCAAGGGTCCTACTACACAATTCCCTGTGATAGATAGTATTAGTGGTTAATGTAAGCTTATGGCTGCAGCTGTGAACCAAGGCTTTTATTCATTGATAAAATAACAAAGGATCCATTCAGAAACGAGGGAGGTAGTTTTGGAGATTTTGAAAAATGCATTAAATTATCCCAGCTGTGAAATGTGTAGGATTGATGCTAAATGAAATTCAAAATCAGTGAGGGGTTTTTCAATGGGAAAGGGAAGTAACACTTCAGTAGAGTATTTTTCAGGGCAGGATGTGTGGAAAAAGACTGAGGTTTGAGTGATGTCCTGTTGTATCAGGAACATGACTGGTCTTATCCACAATGTTTGTTTTGCTGGGACAATATCTGATTTTTTTATTTTGACAACACAAATTTAAAGTCATTACAAATATGAATTGTAGCTGAGGAATACTAAGAATATCATCAATCTTTTTTCAGCTTTTTGTCAAACAGTTGTCAATGATAATAAAATGGAAGATTGACCACATGAAGCATATGATGTCATTGTTTTTAGGGTGACATTGATACTTAATATACAAGATCTGATCAAAAAGTATCATGGATATGCTCCACCTAGTCAGATATTTATTGAACATGTTGCAATGTTTGCAGGATGCTGAAAAGAACAGAATTGATGTGTTCAGTGAGTTCATGACAACTTGTTTTTTTTGGAAGCACAACATTCTCCTCTCGTTTCTGATAAAGTTTGTAGGTTAAGAGGACTACTTCAAATGCCAATTGATAAGTGTTGTAGTTGATCAGACTTAGGCGCCAAATCCATGGACATTTTTATTAGAGGTCAGTTTCTTCACTGGGATAGATAGACTGATACCAGTTTCAGACATGAACAAGAAGTCAGGTTTGGCTTTATGAATGGAGTGCAACTTCTGTGGTGTCATTTGGAGAGTTGGTGTTGAAGATGGTGAATTAGCATTGATTTTTGTTTTTATGACACTGTGTTTGTTTCTTATATTTGATTTTGTTGTGGACATGATTAGATATTTTGGTATACAAGATATTGGAATAGCTGAAGATGAGGTTGCAAAACAGTCTCACTCACAAGTACATACAAGGACTACCTGGATAACTTGAAAACCATTTTTTTCTGTAGATAAAGAACTTGTTAATCATATGGTTCATAGTTGAAAGTCGGATTGCCAGTTTCAATGTTGTTTGATGCTGGCTGATTTTACCTACAAATTGACCAACAATATATATAGCCCTTCCAAAATTTGTCAATTTTAGTGAATCTTGAGTAGGAGGCATTATGGTTATTTTTCTTGTGTTTTATTAAAAGTCTTGTAATGATGTTTAAATAGACATGTCTCTGTACTTCTCAATAGTTGTATAGTTTAAAGATAGATTGCATAAACAATGAGGTAAAATTTATGCATGTTGAGGCAGATATCAAAATGAGATGATTCTGTTGCAAACTAGACTAAAAGTATTGGCAACAATATTTTACATCATTAAAATGGTTGACACGGAATAAGTTTTTGAAGGAATATTTTATATTTTTTTGTTTTTATTTATTTATATAAAAATAAAAAATAACATTTCACCTTGATATTGTAACAAGAAAGAGAAAATACAAGTATGCATTTGAAAAAGAGAAGAAGACATTTTTTTCAATTATGTGTTTAAACAATTGTGTGTTTTTAAGTTGGGACAAAGATCCTGAAAAGAAAAAATGAAAGGGAACAAGGATTTTGAGATGAAACCAATAATGTTTGAACAGGGTAAATCTTTTCATGTGTTTGGAAAAGATTTGAATGTTGAGATGTGGTAACATGTTAATTGTTTTAAAATACTGTGTTTTCAGAGTGCATGGTGAAATTTTCTTTGTGTCAGAAATACATTCTATTAGTATGTTGGTAATATTCATTGTTTTAGAGACCAGCATTAAATTGCTGTGTTGATTCAAAAATTGTGGTTGTTTTTCAATGCTCCACACTGCATTTATTTTTGTTTGGAAGGGCCTGTTTGTTTTGCTGGGGATTTTATTTTGACAACACAAATTTATATAGCTACAAGAATGCTTTGAGTTGCAAATTGATGCATATTTTAGGAGGTCGGTTTTTCAAGAGATTTGTTCATTTTTTGGATCTCTTAAATTGTTTCCAAATTTCAGGTAAAATGTTGAGTTGAGTTATATTATTTACAAACCTGTTTCATGGTTCATAAGAGTGCTGGAAAGGAATAAAGTTTTTAGTTTATTGTTGCAGCCATTTTCTTGTGTTGATCAAATAAAAATTCTTTAATTTGGGTTGTGATAAAAAGAAAATAGGCTGTGTTTTTTGTGCTTGTGACATTCATAAAATTTTTAGTTGCTGTTTCAAACTCATTAGAAGAAAGTTGGTATATTTTTTGTTGGGTAAAAGGTTCCAATTGTGGTAAACCACGTTGTGTTTTACTGTGATGGACTGCTGTGTTTGATGAAACTTTCCATGTGTTAGTTGCATTGTCATTGTTGAAATCTATTAGAGTAACTTGTTTCATGTAGAAAGAATTGCATATTTTAGCCTGTTTTTAATCTCTTAGTTTACAGGTAAAATGTTGAGTTACTAGCATGGTTGGTATATTTTAGCCTACAAATGTAACAAAGTTATGTCTACTGATGTTGAAATAAAAACAACAGTCTGTTAGTCAAGAAATGGTAGAACAAGCATGACTGTGACTGAGAGAAAGGATTTATATATATATATATATATATATATATATATATATATATATACACACACACACACACACACCAGTCATATGGTTTTTTCCACATGCACACATCTCGGGCACAACTGGGCTAATGTTCAGATGTCAGAAAGCCACTGATATCAGGAAAATCACAGATCTCCAACTCCTGCTAGGAGGTTATCTCTGTACCTGGCTACTTTGAAGGACACTGAGTTCAAAATCTATTCTGTCCTCATCTAATTGAGCCTCATATTGCAAAATAAAAACTGTGAATTAAATAGTGATGAAGATTATAGAATGTCAAAGAGCACATATTAACATGTAAAATAATAATTTATACAAGTGTGGTAATAAAATAAGCTCATACTATTTCCACCCTTGCTTGTAACCATCCACTATAATAAATGTTTTCAGTGCTAAAGCTGAATTAGTCAAAGAAAGCTTTATCAGCTTATATCTTTTGAATTTATTTATATATAATAACTCATGTTGCACTTTGTACAATAAAAGCTGACACTCCCAAAACAAGTTATTATCAATATTTTTGTTAAGACCTGATATTATAAGCTGAAACTCATGTGCTATCCTGCTTATGTAAATAAAAGTACATTCTGAAAATTTTACCAAAATCAGTTCATTATTACTAGAATAATGGCGAAAATATCAACTTGCCTAATAAAATCTAACAGTTTATATGGGTTCTCTGCATAAAATTTTTTTTCTTTCAAAATAACTCCAATATAATACAGTTCTGCAACTAAACAGTTACAGGTAGTTAGATATGAAGAAAAAGAAGAAAGAAATTCTGGTATTTTTATTTTCATTGTCCAATCATGTTTCACATGTATTCGATTCTTTAAACCAATGTTAGTATAATTTGTGGCATTCTGAATTCAAGGCGAGTCAACACATCCATCCAAAGTTTCAAAAAATTAAGAAAAAAAATTCTTGAAAACTTTGGATGGAGGGGTCATCTTCATTTAGTTATCTTTATGTTAACTGACAATCATGAGAATATACTGAATCAGATATAATAAAAGGAAGACAGATGTTAAACTTATAAATAAAATAATACTTTGATAAAATTTCAGCATATTTTTTTTCTTTTTGAACACACTTCATGCATAATTTTTTCACTTATTGTGATTTTAGCTGTAGTTCTGAAAATTGTTTTTGTCTTTTCTTAGATCATTAAAAAAGTTCATGTTGAATATAAAGTGGAAGTTGAAAAAATCTTAACAGCTGAAGAACTGAAAGCAGCCTGTCTGCAGCCATCTACATCTCATCTGGATGAACAATCAGAATGTGAATGTAAAGAACCACTTTTTTAATCACCTCTCTCTCATGCTCTCTCTTTCTCTCTCTCTCCCCATATATATATATATATATATATATATATATATATATATTACAGAAATAAAAACAGCAAGATGAGTTTTACCATTCATGATTAAAAAGAAAAAAAAAAAAGGAGGTAGATTAATGTAATGTAACGGGATGGTGTTTTAGTTACCAAAATATCCAAAAAAGATATATATGGTTGCACAGCTTGGATTATTTATAAGGTGCTCAGCAATGATGGAGCTGTATGTGTTGTTGATCTTGTCACCAGACTGGAGCATACCAATCCTAATTTTTCTAGGTACGTGATGATTTATTCATGCATCTAACCATAAGGTGGTTCTGCCTAGATAGTCGGCTCCGCAACTACATCCGAATTGGTTAATATGATGGGGAGGTATAACGTCCTTTCAAACAGACCCCAAGGAGACCTGGTAGAGAAAACAACATGTACATTGGCAAAAAGATAGCAATTTTTAAGTAGTGAACTAATCTGTTTGGCAAATTTACCATTTATTGAACCCAACCAGGGCAAATGCATATAAAAAGGATATTTAGAAAGCGTACTCAGATTAGGTTTAGAAAAATTTGAGATTTTCTTATTCATAACCGACTCAATAACATCCAAAGTGTACCCATTATTAGCTAGAGCTTTGGTAATTGTTTTTAGCTTTTCATCTAATTTAAATTTTGAGCTCTATGTGTAAGGGTACTCACAGTGGCATAGCTAAGGAGGGGCGAGGGGGGGGCGGACAGCCCCGGGTGCCAGCACAGGTGGGGTGACCCAATGTCACCCCCAACAAAATTTTTCAACCAGGCTAAGGTGCCAAAAATAGTCTGAAAACAGTGGTGGAGACACAGGGTTTCGCAGACGGGTATATGACCCCCCAGAAATAATTTATGACCTCCCAGTTTTGTCCCCCCATCAGAAATTTTCTAATAAATTGTCAGGAAATTTGTGAGTAGGAAAAATAGCAATGTTTTCAGCTTTCATGTGTTTCAGTTGCTACAATCTTGGTCACTAACAAGAGACATTGTTGTAACATTTTATCGGATGATATGGTGTTTTAACTCTGCATCATTAATAACAACAAAGTGAAATACAAAGCCAAAAGTGCAACAATTTCAGTCTTGCCTGTGTATCAATTCACTGAGATACAATTTTCCATTGAGTGAGCAATATACTTTTGAATATATCTACTAGTGTTGGGACGATAAATCAGAATCAAGAATCGGAAAAATCGGAACGTTTTGGGGCATCGGAAACAGTATCGGAATCGTAAAAATTTGTGCCTATTTTCCGATTCCAGAAACGATTCTTTTAAATTTTTAACTTAATTTTCCATTATTGGTACTAATGATAAATATTTATTGTTTTTAAATTATCACTAAAACTAAAATCATAATAACATCAAAATACGATGTAAATTTATTTTACTTGTATAAAGAAAAACAAAAAAATAAACTTTGCATAAATTCTCTGGGTAACCTTTAAAAGAATGCAGTTGATTTAATGTTCGAAAAATGCTTAAAATTAAATAGAACATTTTGTCAAGAAAAAACTTTCAAACATCATTGATAATTAAATGGTACCCAGAAAATGATGCAACGGAAAATTGAACACCGGAAAATTAGCAACAGAAAATTACGTCAACCATGAGCCAGTCAAGACTGTCGGATCTGGCTGTGCTGTCCATTGAAAACGAGCTTACAAGACAAACAGATTTTGACGATGTCATTGACCAGTTTGCCACAATGAAAACAAAACATTCATTCTAAGACCATAGTATCGAATGTCATTCTTTTGTGTATTGCCGTGTTTTGTATTTAGTTGTTCTGAAAGTGAACAGTTGCATTTTAAAAATCTTTTGATTTGAACTGATTATTTTGTGGTATTGGATTTTGTCTTGGATCATACATGTAAACAGTAATGTACCGGTCAGTAGAGTAAAGTAAAGGTAGAGCATGTATGAAAATTTAGCTACAGCTAACCATTCAGCATAGGGTGAATCAGGGTCATTGGGGTGACATTTGAGCGGACCGCCCCGGGTGACGTTTACTCTAGCTACGCCACTGGGTACTAATTAGATTTTCTTTGCATTTGTTAGAGCAGAATGCATTCCATTGAATGTATAGTCCAGTAAAGGTTAGTTTACAATAGATTGATGTAATGTAATGGGATGGTGTTTTAGTTACCAAAACATCCAAAAAAAAGATATAGTGGAATTAGTCTCAATTTCCATAGTATACTTTAATGCCAGATGCATACCATTAATTAATAAAAAGAAAATTTTTGCCTCCGTTATATATTCAAAGAGGCAAAATGTGTCATCAACATAGCAATTATACATTAGTGGTTTGACAGTTTCAGAAAAATGATTTTCATGAAAGCCAACAAAAATATTTACCAAAGTAGGCCCTAGGACTGAACCCATAGCCTGTCAATCTGTCTATACATTGTGTTATTGAAACTGAATTCAACATATGTCACAGCAAATAGTAACTCAAAAAAATATTTTCCAGAATAGCAGGTGAAGATATCTAGCTCTGATACAGCAAATCTGTACAGATATCTATCACTTCTTAAATGGGGACACAGGTAAATATCAAACGAACACATAAATTTATTAGTCAAATTACAATTTTGATTATCTCTGTTGTGTCGGAAACCTACCACCCCTCTTGAAGATGAACTTGTCTGCGTCTGTGAAGAAAGACTTTAAATAGTGGCATGTCAGTTGACATGGAGAAGACAGATAGACAGAGAAGTTCTTAGCTGAGCTAGTTATTGACTACTCAGGCGATTTCTGTACCTCTTTACCAGCCTATTAAAACCCTTTTTATTGTTACGTGTTATTTGGCGTTTGTTTCTACTAACCCCAAATCAACATCATAACAATCTCTTGCAAAAGAGAAAGAATCTTTTATGCAATAATTACTATAATATTCTAATATGGGTTGTAATAGTGTGTCAATCCATTTGGCAACCTTCTGTTGAGATGACCCTCACCATAGACAGAATTGGTCTTAGTGGGATACCTGCCTGATGGGTTTTAGGCAAACTGTATAAACGGGAACAAATTGAGCCTGAAGGTTTAATTTCACTAGCTATGTCAGAAGGTAGGACACCACTTTTTACCCATTTGACTAATTTTCTCTGAAATCTATTTTTTAATGTCACTGTTGAATCAAAACTATCCACAGGACCTAATTTGATAAATTTTGATGAATCATTCAAGATTGTCATCATTTTATCAATGCAATCGCATTAAGTACAACTCCTGAACCTGTCAGGTCTAGTGATTACTAATAATTCATCCTGATGTAGTCATTTAATAACCGAATAGTGTTCTCTGCACCATTTGAATTGAGTGTGTGTTGGTAGAAAACAGATAATGAGTGTCAACTTCTAGTAGGAATAAGTCTGCAACAGATTTGTCTCTCAACCGCAACACTTGTAGCCAAATCCAGTTCAACAACTGTCCGACATAACAATCCAACAGGCCATGTAGAGACGGCAAAATCGGGTCACACACCCAGCCTTTGCTTCTCGCCAACAAGAATGCCTCTGTCTCTCCCAAAAGATGGCTCACTTTTTACAGCCGAGGACCGACCATAATTTACATATGAATCACTAACCAATGAGTTTTCGCATAAGTCGTTCGAGACCACCTGTCATAAAACATGGGCACCGCCATTTTGATTCTTTTTTTCAGCCGGACTTTACATGACACACAGATTCGTGGACGTTTCCAAGGTAGGCCATTCTTTTCTTTCCTCGTTTGTCCACTATTTCATTTTGCCAGGGACTGTTGCTACATTTATGTAAGCGTCCACTATTCTGCTTCCATATTATGCATGCCACTCGTTGCCTCTTAGAATGGTGAACTGTAGCCAGTTCAGCAGAACCCACAGACTGCTGCCTTTCGGTTCCGCTACACTCCCCCATGATCTGGTGATCACATAGGTAACAATCCAGAGCGAGTCTCTTCCATCTAGTGCTCCTTCGCGGTATTAGTACCTCCTGTACTTCCTCCTCCTCGGACGACTCGTCTGAAGAAGTATCACCTGTTGCATACGCGTTGCTTACCTTGCAGGGACTACCGTGTGCTTCGTTGATGGTGATCACCCTTGCACTTCGGGTTGAGAGTTCACTGTCACTCCCACTCTCCGAGGCACTCGAACTCATAACAGGATGCAGGTCCCTCACATGGTGGGGCATCCTGTTGACAAGGACGTTTTGTGGGCTTATCATGCCTGTAACGCGTCCACGTGTATAAGGGGGCGTGCACCGTTCAATTGGGGTCTTCATCCAGACATGATCGCCCACATTGTATCCACTCTGCTGCTTGGGCCTATCTGGCGGGGGTGCATCGATACCCTTCAGTTGGACGTGATAGCGATGAATAAGGTTAGCAGGGGCAGTCAGCGGTGACACATTATCCTTAGGAGTGACATTGTACCAATAGACTGCTTCCAGTATGGTGCATTGTTTCCTTGCTGTAATTTGTTTGACACTTCGATGACATTGTTCCACAATGCCATTTCTGGAAGGAACATGCGCACAACTAAAACGCAATCGGACTCCCCACTCACTTAGAAAGTCCTCGAGGCTCTTGCTGCAAAATGCCATATCATTGTCAACGAGCATTTCAGCCGGCACTCCATGCTCGCAGAACAGGCCTTCCAGGTGGCTGATAATGCTTGCTGCATCTTGTTGCCTCAGACGATGCCAAATTGCAAACCGCAGTCAATGAGGGACAGATAGTGTTGGCCTTGGTAGTGGGTTACATCCATTCCCACTTGAAACCAAGTATCACTCACGTCCAATCTCCCCTTCTGCCAATGCGTGGGTGGAGGGTCAATCGATTGACACTTCTCGCACTTTCTTACCACAGCCCTAACCGACGCTGTAGAAACTATAGGGTCGATCTGTCTAACGAAGTACAATGTTTGCCTTATTCAGTGAT